ACGTGTGATTCCCTAGGGAAAATGTCACGTGATCTCAGTTAAACCGGATAAGTAAACCGGAAGTAAAAGGCTAGCCACACAGTGTGTACTACTGATGTCTATCCCTGACTGCAATTTTAATATTTTTAGTTGAACAGTTAATTCTCGTTGAGGATCATTTTTTATCTCACATGTTTTTTATATTCGTTTATACTCTTTCATCAAGGAAAGTATTCAATTCAATGCTTTAATTTTTGTTTTTAGGAAACCATTTTACTAAAGCTGTTAAGAAGCAAGAACCACTGGATAATGCAGTTGACTCGTCTTCATCTCAGAGTGATACAGCATCGCCGAGGAAAAGAAAACCTGCCACGTTGTTCAGCGAGTCGCCGTCACCTCGAAAAAGAAAAAATAAAACGGCTGCGACAAAGATGCGTGATGCTGTGTCTTCCCCAACCAAGAGAAAAATTCTGTGAAGATGACACATTGTATTAGAATAATACACATCAGCTGATGTCTTCTTAGGGAGAAAATAACAATAAAAATGTTACATCATATTTTTGCATTTACGTTGTGCTTTATATAGCTAATCCCATTTATATCAAGAGTGATTTTTGATTTTTTGCCACACAAGGACAAACCTATTGTAGTCTCCTGCGGAGCAGTTTTTTGGGATGTCACGCAACGCTCCAAAAAACGGCTGCGAAGGTACTAGGGCAAACCCTAACCCGCTGAAAAGCACATACGATTCCCTTTCTCGTCTTTGGCATATGATGGAGACAAGAGCTCTGCGAAGCCATCGGGACAAGAATAAAGAAAGCCTTTAAAATCGTGACGACTTTTTCACCTAAATTTTGCTACCTTTACCAAAAGCTATGAGCTTTATATCTTTAGCTGATATTTTGGTTTGCATTGAAGAGTATGCGTGGCAACGTTGACGTAGTCTCCCAGGTATATCCTAAATTAAGCTGAAGCCGAATGGTCTAGGGCATCCTGTGGGGACTTAAGAAAGCAACCATGGAAGCTCTAAATCAGCCTATATTTGCTGACCTTCTGATTTCCCTCAAAAGTTTTATTCTCCAGTTTTGATCCTCTGACAATTGACCAAAACTTAAGTTAAATCCTTTTCACAGTCATTTCGAAAACGCCAAGAAGCGGCCGTCATTTTGTTAACAGGAGCACACTGCTACGCTACTCACTATCTATCACAGAATAGATAGTGAGTAGTGTAGCCAATCAGAGGTCGGCATTCATGATAGAACGCTAATAGATTTATACTAACAAACAGTTAGATTATGAGCTCGAGATTTCTATCGCGCCCTCGCGCCCTCGGCTGCGCCCTCGTCAACTATCACGGTTCATGGTTCAATAGTTCATGGTTTGACAATCAGGTGTCAGACCATGTATGAATGAATGAATGAAACTTTATTGCACATTCCCACAAATGGGTTTTTCAGTGACCAACACAAATACAATAAAAAAGCAATAAAAATATGCAGCCAAGATAAGTTTCAAATATGTTGTACCGTTAGGTAAAACATATTGCACCTATCATCTGCCCCAGGGGGGGAGGAGGGATCTGGCTCCTTTTGCACATGAAATTCATAAATTGTCCACAAAAGCATTGTGAAATACGGAAGCAAGGCCAATTTAAGCACTAAAAGCTGCTCCGATTTCTCATTGATGATGGAAAACTAGAAATTGTATAAAATGCAAAAAGTTGCTCGAAACGAAAAGAGTTGCTCGAAATACCAGAAGTTCCCAAAAAGTTGCCGAACATTCAATCTCGTTCCCAGAGTCTTCGTTCCCTTGACCAGCGGTCGGAAAACGAGAGCTCTGGGAGCAACCATTTTAGGCATGCGCCATAGATGCAGACTGCGCAGTGAAAACGGATGGGCAGAATTCGGTAAAATGGTTGCTTCCAGAGCTCACGTTTTCCGACCGCTAGACAAGGGTAACGAAGGCTCTGGGAACGAGATTGGATGTATAACGGAATATTCTTCAGTTTGATCGACACAACTGGTCGTGTCCTTCCTATTTCACTGTCTGTTGTTTTTCTGCTGATTAGAACTTAAACGTTTTCTCTGCGGCGAAACGCAGTGACATAGCAGAGAATTTCAGTTTGAATCTGTTGGCTATACTGCAACCATATATGCTTTAAAAAAGTTTTAACATATCAAATTCATTGCGACATTTGCCATACAGTCATACAAAGTATCGCGTGACCCCGATATCCGGTAAAATTGCTCTAAAAACACGCTACTTTTAATGGAATATTGCTTCTCTTTCCCAAAGTAGTATTTCTTTCTCAAATGTACCACCAGA